TAGCGATGCCCTTTGTTCCGTTCGTAGCTTCTTGCTGCTAGTAGTAAGGCCAAGAGCCCCTAGTAGCATCCTTGCTCCTAGTAGCGATGCCCTTTGTTCCGTTCGTAGCTTCTTGTTAATTTAATTTGATTCTAATTTGATTTAATTCTGATTTGTTACTACTAGTAAGGCCCTTTGTTACTAGCGATGCCCTTGTTACTAGTAGCGAACCTTGCTCCTAGTTCATTCAGCAACCTTCGAAGCTTCGAGTTCGAGGTCTGGTCTTGTGCTGAGTGGCTCGTGCATCATCAGCGGCATCGGTGGCACGGTTCTCGGCTCCAAAGTGGCCGACTCCGCTGCACGAAGGTACCGGCGCGGTTTTTGGTTTCAACCGAATCATTAGCGTGAGCATGCGTGAGCTATCCTGCGTCCTGTCGTATAGCTCTAGTGACTCCCGGTTGCTTCTATAGACTATAGCTACCTCCTACCAACTACCCATCTCTACTAGCTGCCGGAAGTACATTTGTTTTGGATTCGAACTGCCAGGATTGGGAGCGGTGCGTATTTCTTGGTGCCCGCAGCCTTTATGGCCCGACGGCTCAGAGGGAGTCAGATCCGGTAGTCGGTACCGACTCGGTCGGGTCGGGCATCGTTTTGGCCGTGGGGACCAGATAGCAGAACTGCCACACTGGCAGATGGTTTCTCGCTTTGGGGAATACTTTGGTGGCCATATGTGGCCAAAGCGATTAGTGGTCAGTTGTGCATGTTTTCATTTAGTTTTCACTTGGAATTGTTTGTCAGTCCATTGGCTCTAGACAGGTACCTGCTACGGCCCTGGTGGCTTTGTCCGTGAACCTGAAAGAGAAGCTGCCCTTGATCATTGCGTTGGTCCTGGGAGAGACTTGTTTCTTCTCCTACCAGGCGAGAAGGTGTGACAAAGTGTCTGTCTCTGGTTGCAATTCGTGTTTTGGACTGCATTCAGGACGCCGAGAAAGTAGTACATAGTATGTCTAGCCGTATTGGCCCCTTTTTTGTTTTTCAGGCTCCCATCACTGCCCTTTCCATGTCCTGCACTGAGACAGGGGACGCCGCACGGTCGCCATTTTCCAAAGAAAATGAAGGGGCAAAAGGCAAAGACCGTGCGTTCTTGCTCCTAGTAGCGATGCCAGGAGCCCCTAGTAGCGTCCTTGCTCCAGTGTTCAAAAGCGAGTTGGACAAATTCACTGAGGTCAATGATTCCAGTGCACACGCGTGCCCGGGGATCCTCACTGCAGATCTTGTTGTGCCACGTCTTGGGCGATGTGATCAGTTGGCATCCGAGATGAAACACAAAACCGAACGCAACACCGAACGCGTGTTTTTTTGTGTTATAGATAAAGAAACAGTAAAAGAAGTGTTTCCGCTACGGCTCCAGGTCCACCCATCATCGGGAAGATCTCAGTGTCCAGCAGCTTGCGCGTGGCTCTGCCGGGGCCTATGGGCGCAGCTGAGTTCCGTCTTTGTTTCATCGCTACTAGGCAATGCACTTGTTCCTAATAGCAAACATTGTTACTACTAGTAAGGCACCTGTTACTACTAGCGTGGCACTTGTTACTACTAGCAAGGCATCGCTAACTAGGGGCTCAAGGATGCTAGCAAAGGGCATCGCTACGTTCGGAACGTGTCGAAGGAGCGAGTTCCACGTCTCGAAAAACAAAACTCTTTTAAACAGACTTTTATATCTCTTCATTCTCTTTCAACTCTTTTTTTCAACTATATCTCTTCATCTCGGTATCTCGTTCTCTCTTTTAGGCAACTGCCGTGGGTGGCGGTGCTGATCGCGGGTCTGACCTGGGGTGCGGGATATTTCTGTTTGGCACCTCCACCGATGGAGATCAAGCCAAAGGCCAATGATCAAGGAACGCTTTGCGTCCTTTTACACCGAGGGATTTCCTGTCTCGATCATTTCTGCGATGACTCAGACCACTCAGATGAACAAAAGGATGCCGAATGAGGAAGGACGGCTTCTTTAGATTTCTTTAATGCAGAATTATGTATGCTTGACGAACATATTGGTTCATCATGTTTGATATATACTTCTTGTTTAAAACGTTTGTTCAAGCGAGACCCATCATGTTTTTTTGCATAATTCTTTGACCCGATCAAATGCTGTTTGTCTCACAGAGCTCGAGAACAGCTGTGGTCTTGAGAATTCTGTAACTTGTCTTTTGACAAGATTGCCCCAGAACCATGTTCTGGAAATCGCAAGTGCAAAAAGGTGGAGAGTCGAAGATGAAAGAATGTCGCAAACGAGACGGAAAGAAGATGAAAGAAGGGAAGTGAGAAAAGGAATGCTTTTTGTTCCAAAAATCGGTGCGAGCACTTCTTCTCCGCTCCTTTCGGCTCCCTCAGTGGCGGAGACGGTTGCCGAGGCCGAGTTGCGAAGGCGGGGAAAGCAAAAGCGAATCGGAAAAAGACAAGAGATGAAAGATGATGAAAGAGAGCGAATCAACGAAGTGCCCCCTCGAAAATGGAAAGCGTCTTTTGGTGAGCACGTAGATCGCAAAAGCCAACCCACAGATACCCATCCGTTGAAAGTTGCCATTTCAAAACACTTGGGGACACAAAGTTAGTCCGACGACATGTCGCCACTTAGCGGTTGGTGTGGCAACGCTTCGATGCGCAAGAATCACCAGCGGTGCACAGCGAAGCCGCACTTGCGAACGTACTGCCCACTCCAGCAGCGCAAATGTATCCGCATCATTCCACTTGGTGCAACTTGAACACAGCAAGCCTGCTGTAGAGCTTGTCCGCTTCGCCAATGTTCGCGGATCGGTTTGGGTAGGCCAAGAAACCACGAATACAAAGTGAATGCGCAACTTCGATATTCGAGTTGTTTTCGGAATAGTTAGCAAAAATCAGTTCCTTTTCGGTTCGAAGTTCGGGTTCTTCGTTTCAGATGGAGACGACAGCGGACTCACGGGAGCTTGTGACGATTGTCGTGCCTCGGAGTAGACGAGAGGACGGACAACTCCAGGACGGTTGTCAGTCCCGTCAGTGTCCGTCCGACTGCAGTTTCTGTTTTAGCCCGAAGTGCTAGCAAAGCGGCTTAAGTAAGCTACTAGCGAGGAGCAGACCAGGGTGTCAAAAATAGTTTTTGCATAGGTGTGTGTACATTGATTTGGGCAAAGTTAATCAAAACCATTCAAAGTAATGACTTGAAATGTAATCAGCCGATACGTACAAAAGCAATGAAATCGCTTTAACATTACTGAATATTAATTGCGATTGGTTCGTCTCTGTTCCCCATTTGCTAATCAAAATTGAACCAACCGCAGTGAAACACAGCAAACATCCTATTAGTGATCCCGGTGTAGCACGGGGCATTGATCAAGGACAGGGTGAGTGTGAACTTCCTTGGTTGGTGGTGAGTGCCTCAAGAGCAAGCGCTCTGGAGCATCGCTGGCTGAGGAGGTGGAATTCACAAGCTTTCACTTGTTTCATCTCCTTCGTGAGGAAAGCGGAGCGGTCACAAGATCACTTGCCCTACTCACACAACTATCCAGGGTGCAGATCGCAGAAGGTAAAGCAATTTTAGAACAGTTGCCAATCTATGAGTCCATTGTGACAGAATGATGAAAGGATTTCAGGCAATACCTACGTAGACGATGCAAAGGTTGCCTGAATCCTCCAAGCAGTCCGAACCCATCTAAGGGTACATCTTCAGTTATGGATCACGGACTTGACGACCTATGAGAAGTTGAAGAACAAGGTGATGGAGCTGGAGGCTTTGGCAACTTCTTGAACTTGCCCATGCGGATAAGCATGGATGAGGGGACTGTGCCCGGACCAACAAGACTGGCAAGAAAGGTGGAAAGAGCAAGTCAAAGGATAGCAAAGGCAAGGCAAATGGCAAAGAGAGGGGAAAGACAAAGTCAGAAGGAAAAGGCTCATGGAAGTCACAATGCAAAGAGCTTGTGGGAGAAAGGTATAGAGGTTTTTAAACAAAGGCAAGAGCCAAGACAAGGGCAAGAAACTGATCGCCCTCTGTGGGCCACCTGTACCCGAAGCAGCTTGAGCAGGAGCGCCGGGCTGGCACGGATGGCCGAATGCTTTAGGCGTCGTGGCCTACAGTGATCCAGTGGTCATGAGATGGACTTGAGGCAGATCGAAGAGACCCGGACGTCACTTTTGAAGCGGACACAGGTGGAGAACGTGTTCCCACCCTTTTTCTTTTCAGTTTCTCTCCTTGCTTTAGGCACCGAATTTTCTCGGCCTGTATGCTGCAGGCTCAAGCTGCCTGCTTCACTTGCGACGTTCCAACCTTTTCTCAGGAGCTTGCCTGCAGGATCGGACGCTTCACGTTTCCGGCGCAAGCTCCTCCACCATTTCAACCTTCTTCCCACTTGCATCGATGCCATCATGAGCAATGTGGTTGCCCTGTGCGTCCACCATCCTCAAACTCTGAGCCTGCCATAGGATTGGGGGGCAGGACTGACGTGTATCCCCGCTGAAGAGTAAATCATCCCGCAGAGCCATGGCCGCAACGCTACACTTGCCGGGGATGTCCATCGCAGGCTCAACGCAATACACGAACTCCTCGCTCCTTGAAGGCGCTCACTTCCATGCACAGTCCTCTGCCTTAATCATACCCGCGCGCCATACGTGACAGCAGAAGAAGAAAGAAGAAGAAGAAGAAGAAGATCTAGAGATGCAGATGGACGCCAAAGACAGGATGAGGTGGAGCTGAACGAGACGACCTACACGTCTGTGAATGCGTTCAAGGTCAACTTGGAGAACAAGATGAAGCTGTCGATTGCAAGCAAGCTGTGTGAGGAGAAACAAAGGAAACCTACTATACGCTAGGCCAGCCAAGGTTGCCATCATCGCTCAAGGAGCCGGAAACAAACTTCGTGACACGCCGCATGGTGCAAAGGGAGACAAGCAAGCGTGAGATGCGTGAGGAGAAGCCGGACATGGGAAAGAATGTGATCCAGATGGACTTCTTCTGCGCCTACAGCGGATAGGAGAAGAGGATGACGAGGCACGTGGATGGTGACGGAGTATTGGGTGAGACAAAGGCAGTGCGTGGTCTTGAAGGAAGGGTCAGTAAGCCTGAAGACAGTGACTGGAGGTGGTAAGATTCTCCCTTCCATCGTGTAAGATTTCCAGGAGGCTGCGTGGTACGCAGAAATGTTTGTATTTCACCTTTCTGTTGGGAAGGAAGCATGCTGCCCAGCGGCGCTTTCTCATCGTATGGTTTATATTTTTCGCACAGCAAGGGATCAAAGGAAAAGCTGCGCACCATACTCATGGCTGATTGGCCATACAGTTGAACATCTGGCAAGTAACACCCTGCTCATCATGCCCCAAAGGACCAGGAATCATACCTCCGGCGGACTGCGGCTGCTATTTTCATGCTTCGTAAAGAATGTGTCCCTCAAGGGTGTCGCGCGAGTGTGTCCCACAAGAGCTTTCATCCCACAAGAGTGTCTCCTACAAGAGGTGTCCTCAAGAGTATCCTGCTATTTGGTGAATGTGGATTCTTTGTGCAATCAATGAGCGCAAAAAGATTTTCAGGTGGAGGCAAGAGGGTTCTTCGTTTAGTTTCATGCGCCTCCAACCTTGCAACGCTTGGCCACAAAGAACAACTTCTTGTTAACACTGGGCCCAGAAATGCATTCCAGGGTGACACAAACCACTGAAAAAGGGACAACAGGACAGCGATGATCTGTGCTATGGGCCTTGAGCATCTTTTGGAAGGTCTACTTGAATGGTTTGGGCACAGTGTGGGAACGCAAGCCCACAACTGGATGTTTGCCTTGGGGGCCTATGAAAAGAACGCAGTGGAGATGCAGAATGAGATCTACAGCTTGGAGCTCTATTTTCAGGACCTGGAGGGAGAGGGCAAGGATGCCCGCGAAGAGCTGAATCATTTACTCCAAGAGCTGAGGTTGCTGAAGTGTATCCCAAAATCCGAAGGTGATCCGTTTTGACCAGACGTGTCGAATTTTGCAAGGGCATCGCTTTTGTATACTGTGCCATGTGCCTTGGTGGAGGGGCCGTGACCAGCACTTAGGATACGCTTTCAACCGCCTCACTTGAGGCCCAAGCTTTGTGTGAAAAGACGCGCGCTTTGCTTCGCATTAATCTACACGCCATCACCTGACAAGCCAAGCGGAGAGGTACCATTGATTTTCGACAAAATATTCAAAAGGTAAATGCCCATCAATTTGGATCAATGCAACCGACACAGCTAGTATTAGCACTGCCTCGCTGGACTGCTCTTCTGCGTGTTGCTCCTATTTGCCTGACATCACTTCACCCTCACTGTCTCTGTTTTATTTGTGTTCATTGGGCTCTAGCGCCCTGTCCCTTGCCAATCCTCATGACGCAGACGGAGGACGGCACATATATTGACGGCGCGCGTAAGCCAGGAAACATTGCATTCAGGCATTCAACGCATTTTCTATATTGTTTTCCGGCTTATGGAATGGAAACATAACTTATACGTATAGCGAACGCAACTTGTTCTTCACCATCCGTTGAACCCACTCTGTTCAAAACCATTGCCCCTTTTGTGAAGGTGGGTGAATACAACGGATTTACCTAATTAATCCAGGAGATTTGCCTTTGCGCGAGAATATGTTTGATGTGCCAAAAATGCTGCAGTTGCTCCTCCGACGTCAGTCTTGTTAGTCGCCTTTTGGCGTTCTAATTCTAGTTCATATTTTTACATTTGATTTATGGCAAAGATGTTCAAAAGAGGTAGGGAACATGAGAAGTCAGAGCGGTGAGATGTGTTTTTCTTCATTCCAGCGCCGGAATAACTCAAATGTTCAGCAAATATTACAGCATTGTTTGAAGCGTTAGATGGATTTAATATTTGATGTGGTCTTCAAACTCGTGTGTTTGGACTTAAGACTATTGCTGCAACAAAGTGAGAGTGCGCTCTATTGGCATAAGTCATGTACTGTCCGTGATTCGAGGTCGCCCAGTTGACCAAGACCAAGA